TGTGTGTGTATGTGTATATGTGTGTGTGTGGGTATATGTGTGTGTATGTGTGTGTGTGTGTGTGTGTGTGTGAGTGATGATTACTTATTTATCTCTTCTTCATATGATTAATAAAGGAGCTGAAGCTTTCTGATTCGTTCCTCGTCCTCGACCTATAAATGTGACGCATGTCTGACGGACTGCTGTGATTGGTCGTCGTACATGCTGACATCATATCTGTGGCTGACATCATCATGTTCCTACAACAGACACTTCAACATTCACGTTGTTTCTTTATCTCAAGTGGAAATCGAACAAACTGAAGAGAAACACTGAAGGTTTCATCTTCACCATCAGTCACTTTATAAACCAAGGTGTGTGTGTGTGTCTGTGTGTATGTGTGTGTGTGTGTGTGTGTGTGGCATGAGTCATCACTGCATTTGCCGGCAGTGTGCAGTGACACACACACACAGACACACACACACACACATACACACAGACACACACAGACACACACACACACACACATACACACAGACACACACACACACACACACACAGACACACACACACACACAGACACACAGAGACACACATAAGAACCATCTGTTTGACAGGCAGGCTGAATCACACAGTGGAGGGAAGCAGTGTGAGAGTGTGTGTGTATGTGTGTGTGTGAGAGAGAGACTAGGCAGGCAGTGTTTCCCGCCTCTCTCCGGCCCGTCAGGATGTGGCGTTGCGTGGCAGCACAGCTCCACAACCTGTCGCCAACGGAGACCGTTGTTTTACTGTGACCGTGGAAACAGGATGTAGAAGAGATGTCGGAAAACAGGAGAGAGAGAGAGAGTGTCTGAGTGTGTGTGTGTATGTGTGTGTGTCACAGGTGAGTAATGTTGCATTCACTGGCACTCAGTGAGAAGAACACTGAGTCGCTCTAGAGGGAGGAAGGAGGAGGCGTCGGTACCATTTAGACTTATGATGTCATCAGTGCTCCACATTCTGATTGGACGACACCACGGACACTGGTCGGTCTGACCTGGGTTTCTCAAACATTTGTAGGTCCAGCGTTGTCATCAGTCTGATGCTGGAGAGACATCCAGAGGCAAAAGATGAAGCAGCAGATACATCATAAGGTTTTGTTGCTAGGCGACATCTAGTGTTTGTAGTAATGATGACAGGAGCAAAGGGGAAAGTGTTGGTTGGGAAGAGTCAGGTCAGGGGCAACACGTCTCATTAACAAAAGAAACCAGATGGAACCAACCCTGGAACAAATCCTCTTTGTCTGTCTTCTCCACCAACCACTAACTGAGAGCTGCTCAAGCTTCACGTTACGCTTCATGAAAAAAGTCAGGAGACTAAAGGTCAAATTCCTACTTCATCCTCAGGAGCAGCAGTTCCAGGTGCAGGAGAAGACCCAACACCCTACAGCGCCACCTGGTGAAGTGGTTAGGGCTGGGGACAGTGTCACGACGGACCGGGGTCCTGAAGTCCTGATACTGCAGCCTGCTGGTCCACAGACACACTGTCTCATCTCTACATCACACAACACGTGTTAAATTATAGATGAACCTGGACCGTGACTGTGAAGGTTTTGTGGCAAAAATCGTAGGAACGACATGGGTCAGGGGTCAGGGGTCAGGGGTCATGGTGGCATAAACTGTGATTGAAGAGTTGAAGAGTTTCACTGGTGTCCAGAAATATCTGATGGAGTAAATACAGCCGGTCACCACGGTAACCGATGCTTTGCTTCTCTCCTGCAGTGACAGCTACATAGTGCGCGTCAAAGCGGTGGTGATGACCAGGGACGACTCGAGCGGCGGCTGGCTGGCGCAGGACGGCTGCCTGAGCAGAGTGGGCGTGTGCAGGCTGCTGCCGAGCGAGCTGCTGGGACGCAACACCTTCCTCATCCACGGAGAACGGCTCAAAGACAAGCAGGTCGGTCCAGCAGCGGTCGGTGTGGATGAAGAGATGACTTTAACGTCAACGGGTCTGTGTCTGTTCATCAGCCACATCAAACCCCCCCCCCCCCCCCCTGCAGGAAGTCACAGGCCTGTTCCCACCTGATTTCACACCTATATTTAAAACTTAAAAACTCATGTAACAGATCAGAACTGTGGTTAATGATGAAAACACTTGACTGATGAATGAATAAACACTTTATTTATATCCTTGAAAACAAAAAGCATCAAACTCTTTAAAGGTCACGTTTCCTGGCGCCAAACCAAAACCTAACCTGGCCCGTTGGTCTGATGTGTTTTTCTTCAGGTGATTCTGGAGTGTTTTCTAAAGAAAGATCTGGTCTACACAAAGGCCACGCCCACATTCCACCACTGGAAGGTGGACAACAAAAAGTGTGGTCTGACCTTCCAGAGCCCGGCCGACGCCCGAGCCTTTGACCGCGGCGTGAGGAAGGCCCTGGAGGACCTGACAGAAGGTACACAACAGTGTCCGTCACTTCATGTGTCCTCCGACAACATAAAGGTGGTTTAGAGACGCTCTGAGGAAAAGGCTTAAGAAAACCGACCCAGGAGTAAAAATGTCTCTTTGGTTGACTAGAACCACCTCCTCGTGGTCGTATCCCTCCGCCACTTACATCCTGTTTAAATATGAACCATGTGTGAAAGTTTGTCATATTGCTGTGAAGTCTTGAGTAATGGCTAAAACGTTTTGTGAGGTCACACTGAACTTTGACCATCAAAATCTAATTAGTTCAACCTTGAGTTCAAGTGAATTCTGAAGAAGTTCTGTCGAGGTGTTACTGAGATATCGTGTCCATGACAACGAGACAGACAAGCTAAAAACAAAATGGCTGCCGTTCCGACTGTTGCCGATGTAGGGGAATAAAAAATCCCATTAGACACAAAAAATTTCAAAAGGCTGCTATTTTCCAAGATGGCCGCCATTTCTGGCATAATAAACACATATTTCACTCCAGAGTTTCACCCATTTGACAGATTTCCATGATTTTGCAATTGACTCTAATGTTTTGACTCTTGATGTCAAATTTATTTCATTTTCTTCAGTCAATTAAATATTATTTAGAATAATTCAAATGATTTTTAATTAGTAAAATGCAGGTAAACTGTTAACACTTTCACAGGTGTCATGTTTTACAGTGTAGTAAATGTTGTTTAAATGTGACACCTGGATCATTCATATGGAAACTTGTCAGAAATGTCGGCCATCTTGGAAAGCACTTGTATCCACAGAGATGTAACGTTTGATGTGTCTCCAGGCTCGACCACGTCCTCGTCCACGCTGCAGAACGAAGCAGAGCTCGGCGACGATGACGTCTTCACGGTGAGAAGCTCCTCCAGAATCCCCCCAGGGTCTGAGGGCAGTAAAGGGGGGGGGTGTTTTATTCTTGGTGCAGACAGGAGACGCTGCTTTGGTTTGTAGCGATTACTTGTTGAGATAAGACCAGACTGTGTGTCGGTGTTTGTGTTTGAGGGGGTGGGAGCTGGGGGGGCTGGGGGATGGAGTATCAGACAGGAAGTATGAAGGGGTCGAGTATCCTGTGGTGTGACCAGATACATGTCGCCATCCAGTTCAGGGTTTGTTTGTCCTCACAATGTGGAAATGTCAACACACACACACACACACACACACACCTCACTCACCTCACTCCATGTGTTTACATGCAGTAAACAGATAACGTCAGATGACCTCAGATGACCTCAGTGTTCTGCAGTGAGATGATTTTCAAACATCACGTAAACGTCTGGTTTCTGTGATCGGGGATTAGATAAAGTGTCACAGTAAAAGTACTTCCTGTAGTTACAGTATCACAGTAAAAGTACTTCCTGTAGTTACAGTATCACAGTAAAAGTACTACCTGTAGTTACAGTATCACAGTAAAAGTACTACCTGTAGTTACAGTATCACAGTAAAAGTACTACCTGTAGTTACAGTATCACAGTAAAAGTACTTTCTGTACTTACATTCTCACAATTTTTAAAAACTTTTTTAAAAAAAAAAGACTTTTTATTAAACTATATTTCAACACAAAGGGACAGGGGATAATATGGATCCTGTTTAAAGGAGCTATTTGTACATTTTGCTATCGCTACAAAGCTAACGTTAGCATCAACAGCTGTTTACTGACCAGTGTTGACAAGAGCTTCAGCCATCGTTGTGTTTACAAGACAAGACGTTATGACACGTCCTCTGAGCAGCTACTTCCTCAGACTGCACGCTACAGTGACTCGGTATTGGAAAGTGGGCCGGAGCTAGCTGGTTAGCATGCTAACATCAGTCCAGGAAAAGAAGTGATAAAACAGAGACAATAGTTAACATCGGTGTTTGACAGCTGTTGGTGAGTAAAGGAATGAACATTTCTTCTAGACTGGTGACAGGTGGTTGAAAACACCTGCAGTGACATCACTGTTTGGGGTGTGGCCTGAGGCCTGACCTCACACACATTGCAGCAGCAGTTCGCTCTCTTGTGTGAACGACCCTTTGACCTTCTCTTTCCTCTTCCTGCAGACCGCCACCGATAGCCCGTCCAACTCGTCCCAGAAGAGAGAGCCGGCAATGCACGCGCTGGCCCCACCCACCTTCTGCGAGGCCCGCCGGCACCACTGCATCCTGGGACATTTCTACGAGCAGCACCGGCCCTCGGATCACTACTTCCTCGACCAGGTGAGAATCAGGGTGCGATGGAGCCTGACTCATTAGCCACGTCTTTCAGAGGCGGGAACTCAAACATTCGTCATCACATTGTGATGTCATCAGCTGTGTCTTTGACCTCACGTTCAGACCCGTCTCTGTCACTCTGCATCTCTGCAGGCGGTGCACATGTTTCCTCAACACGTCAGCTTCCAGGTGGAGGAGGAAGAGATCGTTAGGATCAACCCCCGCGAGCGGACCTGGCTCACCGGCTACGAGGACTATCGCCACGCCAACTCCACGCGAGACAAACTCACTCGGCCTGACAACCCCAACGCCTATGTGCACTTCACCAAGAGCGAGCCGCCCAAACACGACTACACCTACCCGTACCCGCTGAGCTGCGAAGTGCAGCGAGGCTGCGACGGGAAGCCGGGCTGCTTGGAGCTGGGCGGCGGCCGCAGAGCGGTGGTGACGGTGCAGCCGCGAGCTCTGCAGCCTAAAGGCAAACGGCGGAAGGAGGATGGTGAGCGCTCGCGCTGCGTTTACTGTCAGGACATGTTCAACCACGAGGACAATGGGCGGGGCCGCTGCCAGGAAGCGCCCGACCCCATCCAGACCTGCATCCGGCGGGTCAGCTTCATGTGGTGCGCGGACAGCCTGCTGTACCACTGCATGTCGGACCCGGAGGGCGATTACTCGGACCCGTGTTCCTGCGACACCAGCGACGAGCGCTTCTGCCTGCGCTGGATGGCGCTGGTGGGGCTGTCGCTGCTGGCGCCCTGCATGTGCTGCTACGCCCCCCTCAGGGCGTGTTACCGCTGCGGCGTGGCCTGCCACTGCTGCGGTGGGAAACACAAAGCTGTGGGCTGAGGCGTCACAGGCCCCGCCCCCTCACACAGACAGCAAGGACTCATGGGAGGAGCCAGAGGAGATTTCTACGTTGTTTTGTCGTTGTCATTTGTCTCGTCTCCAATTTCCAGAAGGAGGAAAAAAAAGTTCCTGTTGTTTTTTGTTTTTCGTGACGTTGGAGACGAAACGGCTTCAACTGTCACGACGACTGAACAAAGAATATTCATTTATATATAAAATTCTATAGATATAAATATATATATAAAACAGGTACTTTATATTTTTACACTCATGTGTTTTAAAGGTGAAGAAGTAGAAGAGACGTGTGTGAATGTTGTCGAGCTGCAGAACGTTTCACACTCAACGGATTTTAATCACGAGGTTTGATCAGTTTTAAAAATTAATTTACAGAAATATTCAACGTCTCACACACAAACACACACACACACACACACACACACACACACACACCTGATGTAAGACCACAGTTCCCAGTATTATTTCAGAAAGGTCATGTCAGTGTGATTTCCTGTGATCTGTCACTCCTGCTGCTTGTACTGGTCAAACTGGTTGTTTCTGTCTTTACTGGTTTGTGTTTGTTTGACGAGAAGAACAAAAACTACAATAAGAGCAAAGCTACTGGAGGATGTGTGTGTGTGTGTGTGTGTGTGTGTGTGTGTGTGTGTGTGTGTGTGTGTGTGTGTGTGTGTGTGTCTCAAAGGGCTGGGCACAGGAAAGGAAACTCATTGAAACAGTTACAGCTCACTCACACTCTCCTCCTGGTCCTGTCTGGTCCTGGTCCTGGTCTGGTCTGGTCCTAGTCCTCGTCCTGGGTGGACCAGCTTGTTCTTGTCTTGTATTTAAAGAACATGTAGAACCGAAGGAACAGAGAGAACAGTAGAACGTCTGGAGGGAACAAAATGGCTCCACAGATTTCTTTCACCGTCTTAAAACACAGAAAGTTTGTTGATCAAACGTTTTGAGCTTCGACCATTAAAACCAGTTCAGAGTTTCTGTTTCTGTCACTGATCAAACCTGTTGATGTGTCCAGCTGCGCCCTGAAAACTGATCGATTAAAGAGGTGAATCTCTCAATGATAAGACTCTCCTGTGAGCTGGTCTCAGAGCAAAACCAAAGGTGTCAAAGGTCAAAGTTCAGGCAGATCCCGTCACATTAACACCAGGTGTGAACAGAGTCTCAGTCTGACAGAACAGGTGTGGAGCTGATGTGGACTGTAATGGATTCTCAGGCTGTGTTCAAACATCAGGATATTACCATGCTGATGTTAGCATAGTGATGTTAGCATTCTGATGTTAGCAAACTGACATTAGCATACTGATGTTAGCATACTGACATTAGCATTCTGATGTTAGCATACTGACGTTAGCATTCTGATGTTAACATAATGAAGTTAGCATTCTGATGTTAGCATACTGAGGTTAGCATATTGACGTTAACTTACTGATGTTAGCATACTGCCGTTACAATTCTGACGCTAACATACTGACGTTAACATACTGACGTTAGCATTCTGATGTAAGCATACTAACGTTTGTATTCTGATGTTAGCAAACAGATGTTAACATACTGACGTTAGCATACCGACATTTGCATACTGATGTTAGCATACCGATGTTAGCATACTGACATTAGCTAAAACTAAAACTATAGTGCAGCCTCACAGAGCTGCTGCTCGGCTGGAGACACCTACAGCTGATTTGCCGCCACCTCAAGTTACTTTAGCAGGTTTTGCTCTGAGACAGCACATGGTTTAAAGGTTAGTTAGTTGGTTGGTTAGCTGTAATGTAAACAGAATAAAACATGTCAAGTACAAGAGTCCACATTTAAAATTCTGTGTCCAGGTCCAGGTGGTTTCAGCAGAGACCTCAGTCCAGTCCGGTCCTCCAGTCCCACTTGTCTCTGATGTCACTGAGCCAGCAGGAAACAACAGGTGAACCTGCCGTCACCTGTTCACACTGATCCACATCCACTGAAGGACCACAGACCCTCACTGAGCATCAGGGGTCAGTTTCACTAAACACCTCAAATTAAGATTTTCCTTAAAGTCTGAGTTAAGGTTTTCTTCAAATAAAAACAGTTGCACAAAACATCCTTAAGTCTTCTCCTTAAGGTTTCCTTAAAATTTTCACTTAAGTATTTTAAGGTTTTCTCCTGATCTTAGTCTTATACTTAAGGAATCACTTAAAGTCAGTTAAACTGTAAAAGACCTTAGAGACCAAACTAAGGGAAAAAACTAAACCTCTGACTCTGTCTTGACTGCAACATGGCTGAGTTGATGGGGACACATGAGGAAAATGAACATGAAAATGAACACAAATACTTAACTAAGGGAACCTTTAAGAGATTCTGTGCAACACCCTTAAGTGACATTAAGTGAAACATAACTAAGTAGAAAACTTAAGGTGTTTTGTGCAACCGGCCCGAGGATAGCTTGACGTGGACGTGGGCGTGGTCTTGGTGTGGACTGAGGTCATCAGCAGGACTTATGTCTGGTTCTTCTTCATAGATAGAAAGGGTCTCTCTCTCCCTCTCTCTCTCTCTCTCTCTCCCTCTCTCTCCCTCTCTCTCTCTCTCTGTCTCTCACTCTCACTCTCAGGTTTCATGATCCCACTGCCGTTTGTTCCCTCCTTTACTTTTCAGTGTTGAGGAAGTGAAGTCTCAGCAGTGAGTGTGTTGGTCTCTGCTCTGTTAAAGCTCCATATTCTCTTCTTCTTCTGTGTTTTATTTGAAGTGTTGATCCATAAGAAGATATGTTTGTGGTTTAAGAACTAAAACCATCTCAGTGTAGTTTTACAAATGTGAATACAAGAACTAAACGTGGCACAAATCCTCCTTGATAAAACACGTTAGCTACTCAAAAATTCAGGATGGCCACTATTTCCAAGATGGCTGACATTTCTGTCAAGGAAATGTTGTTTGCAATAAATTCACCAACAATTTTCCCATAAGAATGATCCAGGTGTAAAATCAAACATTTTAACAACATAGTAGGTGAATTTAGTTCAATGTCAAAGATGAAGTCCTCATAGTCAAAAATGTAGGATTCAATTACAACATCAATGAAATCTATCCAATGGGTAAAACTGGTGAAATATGTTTCCTATGCTGGAAATGGCGGCCATCTTGAAATTTCAAGCGTCTAATAGAATTTTTCAAATTAATGGTCTAAGAGGGATAAACAATTTAGATCCTTGTATCTACATTTGAAAGATTATTATAGTTATCTGCTGCACTCTGTTACTCTAGTAACAACAGGTTAGTCAGCCAATCAGAAGAGAGGAGGCTCTGAGCCTCTCTTCTGATTGGCTGACTGTTTTCTGAGTGATCCAATAAAAATAAAGCAGATTTCAGGTAAAAACACTCAGAGAAACCAAATCCTGCAAGGTTTGGATGGTGGGTCCAGGTGGGCGGGGCTTGGTGACTGCTTTGTTGTGACATCACAAAGTTCCAGAAGTCCTGACGGCTGGTTTTAAGGCTCAGTTTCTGAATACAGGCTGTGTGCATTTCTCTGTGGACTGAGGCTTTGATACTTTCACAGTATTAATATAGAAGCTAGAGCTGATCTATAATCACACTACACATGGACACAGACCTTTACACTGGAGGAGCTTTAAATGACAACGATGTCAGAGCAGTTAGTGTGTTGGTGACAGTGTTACAGGAAAGTGCCTGAAGCTTCCTTTTCATTATGTCCTTCTGTACATTTCAAATGACTGTGCAAAAAATGCAAAGGTTGAATTCATTGATTTGTTTTTTTATATATAATTCACATTTTTACTGATGTAAAAAACTATATATATATATATATATATATATATATGATACACACATGTACATGTGTATGTATCAAGTGTATGATGTACATTTTCAGTTCTATTTTTTTATTGTTTCTAATATGATGAACGTGAAAGAGACGATGAGACGTGAATAATACAAATACATCATCTGGAAACTAAAGGAAACGGCTACACTGTGTCTGTCTGTCTGTTGAGCTTCATGAATTCATGATTCTACGGTGGCCCTGAGAGGTCAACACAATGGAACACGTCGAAAACACTAAAAACAACAGGAAGTGTTTCCAGGGGACAGAGAAAAGTGATGGAACTGTTCTCCAGACGTAAAGCAACATGTTTGTGACCAACAACAATCACATTATCACAATTTCTTTTTTTCAGTGAAAATGAAAAAATGATCATTCCAACTGAAATTGCGATAATCACAATATGTTTTTATCTCCTGCATCATCATATCGAACAGTGTTTTTGGAGGTTACTATGGCGACACATTTTAGGGGCATCATAACAACTCTGGGGGATTTTAGCGACAAAACTTTAGTTCAAATCTTTCAGTTTTGGTTGATCAGACGTGGTTTTGGAGACACAGTCAAATTCATATTTAGTGAGTGAGAAAACAAAAGCTGTATTTTACAGTAGTATTTTTTATACTTTCATTTCATGTCATTAATTTGCACATTATGTAGTTTTGAAATCCTGATCCAGACCCTGAGCTCAGACATGAGTAAATCATTTATTTAATTAATGATAAATTGGGTATTTGAAAGTTTAACAGGGTCATTGAGCAACATTAGTTAAAAAACACTGATTCATGAAGACAACACAAACTTCACTGTGAACAAACAACGTTCAGAGGCTTTGCTCCTGGCTCCACGCCACTTCACCGTCTCTGCAGCTTCCTGAGAGCTGGGACGCCACAGGACACGAACCAGGATGTTACTGTGCTGCTATGACAACGGGGGGGACTGTATCTTGAGCCAGCTGCAGGGAAAGGCTGCTTCCCACAATACCTATGGACAAACAGAGGTCCTGTGTGTGTGTGTGTGTGTGTGTGTGTGTGTCATACCTGACAAAGTGACAGCAGGTCCTGACATCACACAAACATCTGAAGGTCTTCAAAGATCTGGATTCAAGACTCAAAGGGAAAAACAGTCTCATCTTCCTCAGCATGAAGCAAAGATGGCCGCTGACCCGTCCACTGGTCCAGGAGCCGGTCCAACACACCTGTCCAGAGTCCAAACCACATGACTCTGTTTTCACTGACTGAACTCAATGAAGAGAAAAACCCAACGCAAAAAAAACATTCACCAAAATCAAACCACCCACGAGTCAGACCTGCTTCTGAGTGTGTGTTAGCATAGTTAGCATCTTTTCAGATCAATTAGCATAACCTGCATGTTTTCAGAATGGTAAGCGTAGTTAGCATATTTTATTTGTTTGTTTGTTAGCTTGTAACTGGCAGTGGCTGACAGTGTTAGCAGTTGTGCTAATGCTAACTTTCTCTGTTCTGACAAGGTTTCAGGTGTATTTAGCCCCGCCCCCCTCCCCACAAGTTGACAGGATTGGTTCCTGAGGTTTGTGACGTATGAAACCCTGAATCTGTGTTTATGAGACTGTGATTGGTTCACTGCAGTTCAAGGTGGAAACACTCATCATCATATGTCTGTGTTATATAAAAACATCACATGGACGTTAACGAGGTGAAACAGACATGAAGACACGGGTATAAATCACTTTGCTTTATTGAAATCAGCAGCTCTGCTATAAACAAACAGAAGCAGAAGAGCTGCACTTGGCACTTGACGACCGTGTTGTCGAGAGGAAATCAGACATTTATATTTTTATGTGGCTCCAATATACAACATGAGAACCTGGACAGAAACCACAAATACCAGCTTTTACATGGTCTCCATTTTACACACCAGGACCTTATTACAAATATCATCTCACTTACTCACACAACTCATCTTCATCCTCAGTCAGCGATGAGGAGGAAGGAGGAGGAAAACCATCCCTAAAACTCATCAGCTGACGACGAGCCACTCCCTCCCTCCTCTCTCCTCCAACATGTGACGTTACTTCCTGTTTAGATATGTTTGTTATACACCTGACCCAGGATCAGCCACGCTTTCAAACTGTGAACCCTGACCCCAGATCAGCTGTTCGGGGCACAAAGCGTCACCATGAACACGGTTCGGAAACAGCTGTTCAGTCAAGACAAGTAACAGACAAACGAAAACAGCCGGTCGCCAGAAAAGGAAAGAAACTCAAGTTAAAAAGAGAAATAAAAAGAAACAGATGAAGCTTCAGCAGAAACTGAGAGCGTGGTGCGTGACTGTGGAGAGGAATGGCTGACACTGATCCAGGACCAGCACCACACGCCACAGTCCTGTAGTCCTGGACCGCCACAGAGTGGCTTTTACAATCTATAATCAGAAGAATGGGGCATGTTTTGTGAGGTCACTGTGACCTTGACCTTTGACCTTTGACCACCAAACTGTAACCAGTTCATCCTTAAGTCCAAGTGAACGTTTGACAGATTTAAAGAAGTTCCCTCCAAGTGTTGAGATATCAGGTTCACGACGACTCTGACTGTCACTGCCGCAGAGACATCCAAACAGTGACAGGAAATGACATCATCAAACGTCTCGTCAGACTGTTTACTGTCACAACTTAACATTGAACTGAATCAGCTGATCGATCGATGTGGCGTTAGGAAATAATCTGTTCAAACAGCAGGAGGCTGCGTGACAGACGTACTGTCACATGACCCGACAGGTCACATGACTTCATCCACTCAGTTCAAACTACAGACTGTAAGAGCTGCTCAGTGACTGCAGCATCTGGATACAGTGATGGGAGTGAGGCCTGGATCAGGTCTGAGAGAGAGACCTGGTTGATCTGTTGGTCCAGGCTCCCTGCTTCAGAACCAGAACCAGAGTGAACCATGTCTACCCCCTGCACCTGCAGCGCAGAGGTCACTCTACAAACATTATACAGGGGGGGGGGGGGGGGTACTTCATGATCAGGATTGTAAAAAGAACCTTCAGGGATCATCATCATCATCATCATCATCATCATCATCATCATCATTATCATCGTCATCTTGGAAACAGCCAGGAGAAATTATCAGTGAACCACAGGTCATGAGGTCACAGTATTTAAAGGAACAGTTGGAAATCCACTCCACCAGGTGATGGTTAGCTTAGCTTAGCATAGAGACTGGAAACAGGGGCCTGGCCAGGCTAGCTGTTTCCCTATGTTTTCAGTCTTAATGCTAAGCTAAGCTAACTGGCCGCTGGCTGTAGCTTCGTACTGAACAGACACATGTGAGAGTGGTAATGAAGAATACACTGTTTTTGTGTGGTGGTGACCTCTGACCCTCCATGAGACTTCTTACCCCTCCTTCATCCCTCCTTCTCTCTTTGTTTTTAAAAGACTTCATCCAGAAACACCCAGGTGAGTGATGTGTGGATCAGCTGAGTGTGGGGTGGGGTGGGGGTGGTTTATCTGACGGTGACTCCCAGCTTCTCCAGCACTCTCGTCCCTTTCTCCTGGTACTCCTCCCTGGTCATCCAGAAGTTGTCCTTGTCCTTCATGATGTCGGCGAGCACGGCACCGCCCAGGAACACCATGTGTTTACGCCTGGGGGGGTCCTCTATCCTGATCTTGAATTTCTGCAGAGGAGAAGAGGTGGAGAGAGGAGCGGGCGAGCGTTAACAGAGAACAGGAAGTGATAATAACGTGTCAAAGCCCCCGCCGCCCTCTGAGCAACCTGAAATAGACTGAAGACCATTGTCTTTTAATTACAGGCTGCAGGATTTCCCAGCAGAGCCACTTCCTGTCAGGGAGGGACACACAAACTCTCACATGAAGAAGCAGTGACGCCTTCACTGATTCACCATCTGATACCAACATTTACTCACTTCAGTTCTGACACAACACATGGACAGAGAACGTTAGACTGGATGGAGCTTTAATATGTTTGAGGTCTGGAAACTGATATTTTGTGCAAGAATTCAGAAAGTTTAAACCTGCTTGTAACGCCAATGCTGCTCACACTAAGTAATTATCCTGGTAATACACAGTTCTGGTACTGGTAATGGTACTGGTCTTACCGACAGCTTGTCCACGTCTCCCTTCAGCACTCGCTCCAGGTAGAGCTGTTTGAGCTCACGCTCCAGGCGGGACGGCAGGCCGGGATACATGGTGGAGCCTCCGGACAGGACAATGTGCTTATAGAACTCAGCTCTGACCAGAGACAGAAGAGCAGAGCTTTAGTTTTCTCTGCGGAAAGATTACTACAAATATCTTCAAAATCAAGACCAGGTCTGAACCTAGTATCTGTCTGGACCTCATCCTATCGTCATCTGGTCTAGTGTCAGCTGGTTTCAGCTGGTTTGAGTCTAGTGTCAGCTGTTTTGAGTCTAGTGTCAGCTGGTTTCAGCTGGTTTGAGTCTAGTGTCAGCTGGTTTCAGCTGGTTTGAGTCTAGTATCGGTTGGTTTGAGTCTAGTGTCAGCTGGTTTCAGCTGGTTTCGGTCTAGTGTCAGCTGGTTTGAGTCTAGTGTCAGCTGGTTTCAGCTGGTTTGAGTCTAGTATCGGTTGGTTTGAGTCTAGTGTCAGCTGGTTTCAGCTGGTTTCGGTCTAGTGTCAGCTGGTTTGAGACTAGTGTCAGCTGGTTTCAGCTGGTTTCGGTCTAGTGTCAGCTGGTTTGAGTCTAGTGTCAGCTAGTTTCAGCTGGTTTGAGTCTAGTGTCAGCTGGTTTGAGTCTAGTTTCAGCTGGTTTCGGTCTAGTGTCAGCTGGTTTGAGACTAGTGTCAGCTGGTTTCAGCTGGTTTCGGTCTAGTGTCAGCTGGTTTGAGTCTAGTGTCAGCTAGTTTCAGCTTGTTTCGGTCTAGTGTCAGCTGGTTTGAGTCTAGTGTCAGCTGGTTTCAGCTGGTTTGAGTCTAGTATCGGTTGGTTTGAGTCTAGTGTCAGCTGGTTTCAGCTGGTTTCGGTCTAGTGTCAGCTGGTTTGAGTCTAGTGTCAGCTGGTTTCAGCTGGTTTGAGTCTAGGTCAGCTAGTTTGAGTCTTGTGTCAGCTGGTTTGAGTCTAGTGCCAGCTGGTTTGAGTCTAGAGTCAGCTGGTTTCGGTCTAGTGTCAGCTGGTTTGAGTCTAGTGTCAGCTGGTTTCGGTCTAGTGTCAGCTTGTTTGAGTCTAGTGTCAGCTGGTTTCAGCTGGTTTGAGTCTAGTGTCAGCTGGTTTGAGTCTAGTATCGGCTGGTTTGAGTCTAGTGTCAGCTAGTTTCAGCTGGTTTGAGTCTAGTGTCAGCTGGTTTGAGTCTAGTGTCAGCTGGTTTCGGTCTAGTGTCAGCTTGTTTGAGTCTAGTGTCAGCTGGTTTCAGCTGGTTTGAGTCTAGTGTCAGCTGGTTTGAGTCTAGTATCGGCTGGTTTGAGTCTAGTGTCAGCTAGTTTCAGCTGGTTTGAGTCTAGTGTCAGCTGGTTTGAGTCTAGTGTCAGCTGGTTTCAGTCTAGTGTCAGCTTGTTTGAGTCTAGTGTCAGCTGGTTTCAGCTGGTTTGAGTCTAGTGTCAGCTGGTTTGAGTCTAGTATCGGCTGGGTTGAGTCTAGTGTCAGCTAGTTTCAGCTGGGTTGAGTCTAGTGTCAGCTGGTTTCAGCTGGTTTGAGTCTAGTATCAGCTGGTTTCGGTCTAGTGTCAGCTGGTTTCGGTCTAGTGTCAGCTGGTTTCGGTCTAGTGTCAGCTGGTTTCGGTCTAGTGTCAGCTGGTTTCGGTCTAGTGTCAGCTGGTTTCGGTCTAGTGTCAGCTGGTTTCGGTCTAGTGTCAGCTGGTTTCGGTCTAGTGTCAGCTGGTTTCGGTCTAGTGTCAGCTGGTTTCGGTCTAGTGTCAGCTGGTTTCGGTCTAGTGTCAGCTGGTTTCGGTCTAGTGTCAGCTGGTTTCGGTCTAGTGTCAGCTGGTTTCGGTCTAGTGTCAGCTGGTTTCGGTCTAGTGTCAGCTGGTTTCGGTCTAGTGTCAGCTGGTTTCGGTCTAGTGTCAGCTGGTTTCGGTCTAGTGTCAGCTGGTTTCGGTCTAGTGTCAGCTGGTTTCGGTCTAGTGTCAGCTGGTTTGAGTCTAGTGTCAGCTGGTTTCAGCTGGTTTGAGTCTAGTATCAGCTGGTTTGAATCTAGTATCAGCTGATTTGAATCTAGTGTCAGCTGGTTTGAGTCTAGAGTCAGCTGGTTTCGGTCTAGTGTCAGCTGGTTTCGGTCTAGTGTCAGCTGGTTTGAGTCTAGTGTCAGCTGGTTTCAGCTGGTTTGAGTCTCTTGTCAGCTGGTTTGAGTCTAGTGTCAGCTGGTTTGAGTCTAGTGTCAGCTGGTTTCAGCTGGTTTGAGTCTCTTGTCAGCTGGTTTGAGTCTAGTATCGGCTGCTTTGAGTCTAGTGTCAGCTGGTTTCAGCTGGTTTGAGTCTAGTGTCAGCTGGTTTCAGGCTGGTTTGAGTCTAGTGTCAGCTGGTTTTGGTCTAGCTGTCCTTCCTGCTCACCTGGTGTCGATATCCGCGGCTTGGATGGTGTTGAAGAGCAGCTCGGCCACGCCCACCCCCTCCACATTGATGAGGTGGGGCTGAAACAGAGCCTCGGGGGCTTCGAACCTCTCCCCTCCCACCTTGATCACCCTGCCATCCGGTAGCTGAGGACACAAACAGAACGGCTGCTGTCTCATCCTCAGTGAGGTAACACACACGCTAGAGGTTTTCAACACCACCGTGACTGACCGTGTATGACTCCACCAGCACCGTAGTCTCCAGCGCCAGCTTCTGCTCCTGTTCAATGTTGTAACCCACGTAACACAGCTTCTCCTTCATCATCCTCACCGTCTCAAAGTCGGCCGAGTGGTTGAAGGCGTAGCCTCGCAGCAGCAGCAGCTGGTGGACAGAGACAAGAACAAACAGCAGCACCTGCATCAGGTAACATTTCCCACCTGATGCTCATCTTGCTGAAACAAGAGAATGATGAATCTGATTTCTTTATTTTATTTATTCATCTCTACCAGAAGCAGAAAGAACAAGGTGCTGACCACAAATCACAGCAGGATAACTCATCATCATGATCACGGCTGATCCATCGCGCTGCAGACCAGAGGCTGTGGATCATTTGCTATTTAATGACGCCCTCTTGTGACAAAAACATGTCAGTGCTCAGTCACCACCAAAACCTTCAACAGTTTAAAGCTGCAGCACATTTTAACATCTATCGGTAATACAGCCGCTTCTTTTTTATCATACTGAGTACAGTCAGTTATTTATTCATGAGTTGAGTATTTATGGTATTTCCCATGTTGTTTTGTTTCTGTCATGATTATTATAGTTACAGTATAGTATTTGTTTTTACACCTTTCTTTCTCTTAATGAGAACAGTTGTCTCACTTGTGTGTTCTTTGTCGTGTATTTCTGTGTTCCTTTAATGTCTACTCTATGTGCTTTTTAAATTTAAATGAAGTTTATTGAATTTAATCAATAGTTTCTTGATATTAAACAACAGAACTTTTCAGACTCTACCTTCTGTTTGTAAAATAATTTCACATCAACATGATTCATGTGTTTCACTATGAAAGTAAAGTGAACTAATATGTTTCACGGGTCTGGAATAAACCGTTAATCATTGTTTAATCTGCTGATGACTGTTAAGATTACAACATTATGCCGAGTTCAGGTGTCTGTCTATCCAGCTGTTCACATCAGTGTCAAACAGAAGAAGGTATTTGACAATCAAAACTAGTTTTCTGTCAATCGACCATCAATCACTATATGGCTAAAAGTTTGTGGACATCCCAGCATTAAACCCATATGGTCTAATTGAACATCATGAAAAGTTCAACAATCCCACAATGCAGCAGTGAGGGAGGAGTGAAGATGATCCAGATGTTGTGCAGCTGTTACCTTGATGAGGTAGCGTGTTATGTCCCTCCCTGCAATGTCGAGGCGTCGGGTCAGGTGGGGGAGGGAGAAGCCCTCGTACACCGGACAGATGTGGGTGACACCGTCGCCGGAGTCGACCACCACGCCGGTCAGAAGTCCTGAAACAACGACATGAAAAAACAGCGTGATCATGTCGTACAAACGTGAATCATCAGAGTGACGCTCAGAGTTGGAGCTGAAACCTAACGACACCCTGTTGAGTGTGAAGCTAAACTCTGCACATGGTTTTCTTTTTTAACAACAGCAAACACACAGCGATCACAAAACAAGCGCACCTTGAGCGTAGAGGGTGAGGACGGCCTGGATGGCAATGTAAACTCCTGTGAACTGGTACGTTTCAAACATCACCTGGCGACAGACAGAAACACAAAACACAAAGATTTTAAGACTCTGAGTCTGACACTGAGTCTGACTGAGTCTGACTGTGACTCTGACTCTGAGTCTGACGCTGAGTCTGACTCTGAGTCTGACGCTGAGTCTGACTCTGACTGTGACTCTGATGCTGAGTCTGACTGAGTCTGACTGTGACTCTGACTCTGAGTCTGACTCTGAGTCTGACTCTGACTGTGACTCTGAGTCTGACTGTGACTCTGAGTCTGACACTGAGTCTGACTGAGTCTGACTGTGACTCTGACTCTGAGTCTGACGCTGAGTCTGACTCTGACTGTGACTCTGAGTCTGACTCTGACGCTGAGTCTGACTCTGACGCTGAGTCTGACTGAGTCTGACTGTGACTCTGAGTCTGACACTGAGTCTGACTGAGTCTGACTGTGACTCTGACTCTGAGTCTGACGCTGAGTCTGACTGTGACTCTGAGTCTGACGCTGAGTCTGAGTCTGACGCTGAGTCTGACTCTGAGTCTGACTGTGACTCTGACTCTGAGTCTGACGCTGAGTCTGACTGTGACTCTGAGTCTGACACTGAGTCTGACTGAGTCTGACTGTGACTCTGACTCTGAGTCTGACGCTGAGTCTGACTGTGACTCTGAGTCTGACGCTGAGTCTGACTCTGACTGTGACTCTGAGTCTGACTCTGACGCTGAGTCTGACTCTGACGCTGAGTCTGACTGAGTCTGACTGTGACTCTGAGTCTGACACTGAGTCTGACTGAGTCTGACTGTGACTCTGACTCTGAGTCTGACTCTGAGTCTGACGCTGAGTCTGACTCTGACTGTGACTCTGAGAGAGTATGCATGCGCCCCCCCCCCGGTACTTCCTGTCTGTTCCCACTTTTGTCAAATTAAAAGCTTCGACATGCCAAAATAAAAAGGTCAGGAAAGCTACATGTGATGTGAACACGGACCTCGATGATCTTCTCTCTGTTCTTGGTGGGGTTCATGGGCGGCTCCGTCAGCAGGATCTTACAGCTGCGGGAGTCGATGTTGAGCTTCTCCGGGCCGAAGGTGTAGTCCCACAGGTGCTTCATGTCGTCCCAGTTCCTGACGATGCCGTTCTCCATGGGGTAGTTCACCTCCAGCATGGAGCGCAGCTCGCTGGCCTCGTCCCCCACCATCAGGTCCTGTGAGAGGTCAAAGGTCAACAGGTCAGCAGGCGGGGAGAGACGCAAAAGTGTGAAATGGGATATACCTCCTGTGTCCTAAGTGGGCGTGATCGGGGTCGCTTGTTCATGTCAAAACATACCAACAATAAAACACTAAATACAGTTTGATTTTATGTCTGATTTTGCTGCTTGTTTTTATCTCCTATTTTATAGCTGATCAAATCAGTCTAATAAACAGTTCAATAATAATAACAGTAATAGTTTGATTAAGCAAAGAAACACAAGTTTGATTTCAGTTTGAATTCCTGGCGTCACGTTTACGTCGCTCTGAACTTTTGGTCTTAAATAAAGTTAAACCTCTCCTGCTTTGTCTGAAAAATTAGATTTAATGTGAGACATTATGTTGGGGGGGGGGGACATGTGACACTGTTACAGGAAATGATTGTCAACGTCTTTAACTCAGTGGATGTTTGACCAGCAGCTGGTCTCACAGAGACTGGTCAGACTGGTCAGACTGGTCAGACTGGTCAGACTGGTCAGACTGGTCAGACTGGTCTGTGTGTTGGTCCAGATCAGTCTGATGTCAGTCACACTGTTTCACTAAAATACAGACTGACTCATTTTAACACAAAAACATCACACACCTTACCTCCAGGCTAACTCAGGTGTAGTGACCATTTGTCCATAAAAAACAAATTAAACTTTAAACCAAACCTAATCAAAAGGCCACTGATGCACCATGGGGATGTGGTTTAACGCAGGCAAAGGAAGATGAATGTCCATTCCAATCTTGCAGTTTTGTGTGGATTTATTGCAACAAAAGAAAACAAACAAAAGAACAAAGAAAAACCATAGCTGCTGCTGCCTCTCTTTGCACTGGTAAAAAACCATTGGCCCACCCAGGTGCATGCTGGTCCTCAGTGTGCCTACCTACTCAAATAACCCCAAGTGCCCAGTGTTAACCAATTACCAAAAAATAAACAAAAATACTAATTATACAAATCTAAATATGCTAAACAAATAACTAACAAACAAAAATATTATCAAAAATCTAATTTCAATAAAGCAAACAAGTTAATCATACAAAGAAAGTTGCCCATAATTAATCAATTAAATTTACAACTAAAACTAAACTTAACAAAACTAACAAATAGCTCCAACATCAGGTGTAACCAGTGTTACAATGGTAACAATCAATGACACCTGCGCTGACCAGCAGCACCAATAACAAACAGGAAAACACGGCTCATACTGTGGTTTGTTAACGTTGTTATGGAGCAAAGAGAAGAGAAACAGTTTTTCGAGACTGCAGATATTTTGCTTTTCATTATTTTAGTTTTCACTGAATTTTCAAAATAAAACTTCCTGTAACTGTTGAATTCTTCCCAAACACAAACATGTTCTCTGAGGGTGAACGGAGCTCAGAGGTTGGATGTGTTTTTTTTTTTTATATTGAAAAAAGTCTTAATTTACCCAGAATTCATTGCACCACAGTCCTTCTTAAGACAGTCAAGAACTAAAGTGTCTGTGCAGCAGATGAATTCAGACTCAGCGGCAGGTTTTCTACGTCATGCTGTCATCTCCGACCTGATCTGACACATCCAGAGAAGACGCTCTGGGTGTCGCAGCAGCACGTTGGAAAAAAAACACCATGAATGAAAACAGGTGGATTACCTTGATCTCAATGTTGCCAACTTTAGCCGTGGAGCGGATGATCGGCCGGCCGACCAGCGCAGGGAAGATGTGCTCGGGGAAGTTGGAGCCTGCGTAGCCACATTTTACAAACTGGGAGGAGAGTGAAAACAAAGGAAAAAAAGGTGTTAGAATATTTAAAATAACAGGGTGGAACAGACACATATCATCAACAACTTTAAAAATGTGATCATATCAACAAACAATAAAAGAATAATCACCATCCTCAGGTAAAGACTGAAGGTCATACATCAACAGTTTATAACATCTGAAAATGTAAACAGAGATGGACTAAAAAAAACCAAGCTCAAGTTGAAGCGCACAGATTAACTCACTGTATCCATGGCAACTTATTTCCTGTTTGTTGGAAAAGTTTAGTTTATATCTGTTCTGTTATTAGAAGAGTTGATCTGATGTAAACAAATGAGACTACATATACACACACACACTTATACACTACTGTCCAGTTTTTATTGAAAATTCCACTGTGTCTGTGTGTGTGTGTGTCTCTGTGTGTGTGTGTGTGTGTGTGTCTGTGTGTGTATTCACACTTTCCCATTAACTAAGTGAATATTGGTCTTTTGGACCCCACTACACACACACACACACACACACACATATATATATATATATACACACATACACACACACATACATAGGTTTATGTACACACATACACCGTGAATGTGTGTACATAAAAGTGTCCCCTGTCTTTATTCTGAGTCAAATAGACTGTGATCATTTATAAAAGTCTTGTGCTGAACACAATCGTCCATTCACACCTGAAAGTCAGAAATCATACAAGTTTCCTTATATGGAAAAACTACCTCAACTTCCGCAATTAGAGCCTCGCGTCTGCGCAGTGCTTCAGCCCCGGTGTTACCGTTTATTTTAACTCATCTAACATGTTAAAAAGCTCCAGACGCCTGAACACAGTTTACCGACATGTTCCCGAATCGGTGTGTGACCGGACACCGAGTCTCTGACTGGAGTGATGCTCCGGTTTAACGAGGGCGGGGCCGGTTTGCTGCTGAGTTAACACAGCTAACTGAACACACACACACACACACACACACACACACACAAAGACAAGAAACTGTGACTTCGACCTGTCGATTAATTTTTGTCTCGTCCTTCCAGCTCGACTCTGAATATTTAATAAAATATTTAATAAACAGCTGAGGACACGAAGCTAGCTACCGGGGCTAACGTTACCTGGGAATGTAACGTTGCTAACACAGGTTCAACCGGTTTAAATCAATTAATTAAAACTTTAGGGACTCATTAATCTTCCGGTGCTTTACTGTTGTGTTTTCCCGGGCTGTCGTTGAGTTCAGTTTAACGGTGCAGCAGCTACCTGTCCGTGCAGACCGTTACTCTAAGCGGAGTTAGCTGTTAGCTGCCCGGCTAACCAACACTCTGGTTAAACGACAGAGTGGTAAACATACACTACAGGTGTGTGTTTGTGTGCGTGTTTCTCCAGGTGTGTGTATCGGCAGGTGTGTGATGACTCAGGTGAATCCAGCTGACGAGACACATTCCTATCACAACCCACCCAGACGAGCTAACGCGTTAGCCTGTTAGCTTCCTGCCACTTCCTGTTTCCACTTCTCCCCCGTTTTCTTATCAAACCGACACCGGCCCGCCTGCTCTCACACTCACCCCGGTTCCGTTGTCACAAACCACGACTTTTCTCCCGTGACTGTCCATGTTGTTGTGTTTTAATCCCCGGAATCCAGCGGCTCCCTCCTCCTCCTGCACACACCGTCAAGCTAACCGACACACCGGAACGCACCTACCAGTTCAGGTGTAAATCCTTCAGAATAAAAGTCTGGGTAAAGAACTGTTCTACAATAATAAGACAGAAATATGCACTCATTCATCAGAGAAATATATCTGATGAATAAACACTGTTATAAACCAAATGTATGCAGTCATATCATAAAGACATAGAGAGTAAAATGAGATTTAAAAATAGATAAAATAAAATTCCTACCATGTATTCTCTTTACCCTAAACCTGCAACAACTGCACTGCCACTGCCACGTGGGGGGCAGTGCAACACAACACTGACAAATTACTATCACCTGATGAGGTCGTTCAGGTGAATGTGTCAGGAAATAGTTGCCTCAGTTGTTTACACATCCAGTGTTGGTGGCCACCTGCTAAATGTGAGTCCAATATTCACTTTTCACGTTTTTGTCACAGTTATTACTACTACTACTAATAATAATAATAATAATAATAACAATAATAATAATAATTTTCTTGCACTCAATTTTGAATCATGCTAGAACAGAGAGAGAGAGTTAATACAGAAGTTGAGCTGTGGGCCTCAAACCGCCACCACACCTGCAGTGTTACCGCCAGCACAGACTGGTCGACCATGAGACCATGTGACTACACATTAATTACCCAACACTCCATTATTTTTTCCACACAAGACCAGAGCTGAGGGTCAACACTTTGCTCTCTGAGATGGTTGCTCAGTTCAAACATGAAGCTCAACAGAAAACCAGCAGCAGCAGCTCAGAGCAACAAGTTTCCAAACCAGGAGAAGACGAAGGCCTGAACCAGCTCATAAAGAAGATCGAAGACAAACAGAAAACCACGGACAAACAGGCTGAAGACTTCATCACAGAGCTGGAACAGGAAATCTCTGAGCTGATGAAGAGAAGCACTGAGGTGGAGCAGCTCTCACTCTCTGAAGACCACCTCCACCTCCTCCAAAGCTTCCCATCCCTGAAAGCTGCTCCACCCACCAAGGACTGGACAGAGGTCAGAGTCCGTCCACCATCATATGAGGGGACTGTGGTGAGAGCTGTGGCTCAGCTGGAGGAGACGCTCAGTGAAGAGATGAAGAAGCTGATTGAGGCTGAGCTGAAGAGGGTCCAGCAGTATGCAGAGGATGTGACTCTGGATCCTGATACAGCACATCCTAAACTCATCCTGTCTGATGATGGAAAACAAGTCAATCATGGTGATGTGAGGAAGAATCTCCCAGAGAGATTTTCTCTCAATCCCTGTGTCTTAGGAAAGCAGAGTTTCTCTTCAGGAAGATTTTACTTTGAGCTTCAGGTCAAAACAAAGACTGAGTGGGATTTAGGAGTGGCCAGAGAACCGTCACCTTACCGTGGTGGAGGAGTTTGAGAGCCCTAATGACCCTAGGAGCTATGTTGTCAGGGGCATTTTGCCCCTGGTAGGGACTCCCAAGGAAGATTGGTCCCAGGTGAAGGGCCAGACGAAGAACGGTTCAGAAGATCCTAATGATGAAAAACATCAAGAACCAGAGTACCCGGCCCGGAGGGACACCGGGGCCCCGCCCTGTAGCCAGGCCTGGGGTTGGGGCCCGTGGGCGAGCGCCTGGTGGCCGGGCCTTTGCCCATGGGGCCCGGGCGGGCCCAGCCCGAACCGGCTACATGGGTTCGTCTCCCAGTGGGCTCACCACCTGCAGGAAGAATCAGCGGGATCCGGTGCATTGTGGATTGGGCAGCAGACCAAGGCGGGGGCCTTGGCGGTCCGATCCTTGGTTAGGGAAACATGGGTTTTTTGGAACATGGAACGTCACCTTCTCTGGCGGGGAAGGAGCGGGAGCTTGTTGGAAGAGGTCGAGCGATACGGCTAGATATGGTGGCCTCACCCTCGACTCATAGCGTCGGCTCCGGAACCCAAGTCCTTGAGAGGGGCTGGTCTTCCTCTTTGCTGGAGTTGCTCCGGGTGAGAGGCGGAGGCCGGGGTTGGGCTTTTGGTGTCCCCAGGCTCTCTGCCTGTATGTTGGAGTTTACCCGCGTGGACGAAAGGGTTGCGTCCCTGCGCCTTCGGGTCAGGGATCGGGTTCTGACTGTTGTCAGTGCTTATGCACCGAACAGCAGTTCAGACTACCCGCCCTTTTTGGAGTCCTTGGGACGGGTGTTGGAAGGTGCCCGCAAAAGGGGACTCCATTGTCCTATTGGAGAACTTCAACGCTCACAGTGGGCAATGACCAGCGTGACCTGGAGGGGTGTGGTGGGGAGGAACGGCCTGCCCGATCTAGAACCTGAGCGGTGTTCAGCTGTTATGTGGGACTTCTGTGCTAGTCACAGCTTGGCCATAACTAACACCATGTTCAAGCATAAGGATGTCCATAGGTGCACATGGCAACAGGACACCCTAGGTCACCGGACTATGATCGACTTTGTAGTCGTATCATCAGACCTGCGGCCGCATGTTTTGGACACTCGGGTGAAGAGAGGAGCAGAGTTGTCAACCGACCACCACCTGGTGATGAGTTGTATCAGATGGCGGGGGAAGACGCCACACAGACCTGGCAGGCCCAAACGGATTGTGAGGGTCTGCTGGGAAAACCTGGCGGAAGAACCCTTCAAGATGATTTTCAATGCACACCTCCGGCAGAGCTTCGATCGCGTCCCGAGGGCAGGAGGGGACATTGAGTCCGAATGGGCCTTGTTGCGCTCTGCTGTTGTTGAGGCGGCTGTTGCAAGCCACGCCTGCAAGGTAGCTGGGGCCAGTCGTGGTGGTAACCCGCTGGTGGACACCGGCGGTGGGGGAAGCCGTCAGGCTGAAGAAGGAGGCCTACAGGGCGTGGTTGGCCTGTGGGTCTCAGGAATCAGCTGACTGGTACCGGCGGGCCAAGCGGAGTGCAGCCGCGGCAGTTGCTGAGGCAAAAACTCGGACGTGGGAGGAGTTCGGTGAGACAATGGAGGAAGACTATCGATCGGCTCCAAAAAGGTTCTGGCAAACCGTCCGGCGCCTCAGGGGGGGAAGGCGGCAACTCGCTCACACTGTTTACAGTGGGGGCGGGGAGCTGCTGACGTCAACTGAGGATATAGTCGGACGGTGGAAGGAATACTTTGAGGAGCTCCTCAATCCCACCAACACGTATTCCGTGGAGGAAACAGAGCCAAGAGACCTGGGGATGGATGATCTAATCTCCGGGGCAGAAGTCGCCGACGTAGTGAAACAACTGCGCGGTGGCAGAGCCCCGGGGGTTGATGAGATCCGCCCTGGGTATCTCAAGGCTCTGGATGTTGTAGGGCTGTCTTGGGTGACACGCCTCTGCAACATTGCGTGGACATCGGGGGCAGTGCCTTTGGAGTGGCAAACCGGGGTGGTGGTCCCCATCTTTAAGAAGGGTGACCAGAGGGTGTGTTCCAACTACCGTGGAATTACACTCCTCAGCCTCCCTGGTAAGGTCTATGCCAGGGTACTGGAAAAGAGGGTCCGATCGATAGTTGAACCTCAGATCGAGGAGGAGCAATGTGGTTTTCGTCCTGGGCGTGGAACTGTGGACCAGCTCTTTACCCTCGCTAGGGTGCTGGAGGGAGCATGGGAGTTTGCCAATCCAGTCCACATGTGTTTTGTGGATTTGGAGAAAGCTTACGACCGTGTTCCCAGGGGCACCCTGTGGGGGGCACTCCGGGAGTATGGGGTGGATGGCCCCTTGTTAGTGGCCATTAAGTCCCTGTACCAAAGGAGTGTGAGTCTGGTTCGCGTAGCCGGTAGTAAGTCGGACCTGTTCCCGGTGGGGGTCGGACTCCGCCAGGGCTGCCCTTTGTCACCGGTTCTGTTCATAACTTTTATGGACAGAATTTCTAGGCGCAGCCGGGTGGTGGAGGGGTTTGGGTTCGGTGGCGGGAGGATCTCGTCTCTGCTTTTTGCGGATGATGTGGTCCTCCTAGCTTCATCGAGCGCCGAACTTCAGCTCTCGCTTGGGCGGTTTGCGGCCGAGTGTGAAGCGGCTAGGATGAAGATCAGCACTTCCACGTCTGAGGCCATGGTTCTCAGCCGGAAACGGGTGGATTGCCCGCTCCAGGTCGGGGGGGAGGCTCTGCCTCAGGTGGAGGAGTTTAAGTATCTCGGGATCTTGTTCACGAGTGAAGGTAGGATGGAGCAGGAGATCGACAGGCGGATTGGGGCGGCGTCAGCAGTGATGCGGGTGCTGAACCGGTCCGTTGTGGGGAAGAGAGCTAAGCCGGAAGGCAAAGCTCTCGATTTTCTGGTCGATCTACGTTCCAATCCTCACCTATGGTCATGAGCTTTGGGTAATGACCGAAAGAACGAGACTGCGAATACAAGCGGCCGCAAGGAGGCCTTGGAACGCCTCAGGATTCTCCCGGAGGAGCTGGTGGAAGTGGCTGGGGAGATCGCCATCTGGACCTCTTTGCTGAGGCTGCTGCCCCCGCGACCCGGATCCGGATAAGCGGGAGACGACGACGACGACAACGACGACGACGACGACGACGACGACGGAGTCCATCAACAGGAAGGAAAACGTCCTACTGAATCCTGAGGATGGTTACTGGACAATATGGTTGAGGAGTAGAATGAAATACAAAGCTCTTGATGAGCCTCCAGTACGTCTCTCTCTGAAGTCTCAGCCTGAGAAGGAGGGGGTGGTTGTGGATTATGAGGAGGATCTGGTCTCTTTTATGATGTAGCTGCTGCAGCTCTCATCTGCTCCTTTACTGGCTGCACCTTCACTGAGAAACTCTATGTGTATTTTGGTCCTTGTCCTAATGGTGGTGGTAAAAACTCCACCCCTCTGATCATCACACCAATCAACAGCACTTAATAGACCAGTTATTAACTGTGTATGAAAGCAACTTGTGTTAAGTGCTAAGAATATATTAATTGGTAATTCTCAGTGTAATTTGTCTTTATTGATTCTTTATTGATTGATTTTGGTCTGACTTTGGATTTTGTAATACATACAGTACAGGTAGTCTCCTCCACTAATGAACGCATAAAAAAAAGATACCAAGTTGATTTTGTATCTATTTTCATTTGACTTGTAATTGTTTTAACTTTTACTGACTTTTAAATGTGCTCTGTCACATTAATATTTATGATAATAAAAGTGATCAAATTAAACATGCTACCTACTGTCTGTGTGATTGTACTAAAGTCAGGACAGATTATTTTATCCTCTGCCTTTTAACTCTGACATGAGTCATGTTTCGAAGACACAGATTCTCTGCTGAATTCATAGTATAACATCCTCTTTCAATCTGACAGTCTGATATAATCTGTGCACAATAATGGACGGGATATTATAAACTCACAAATGAACACCAAGATAAAATAATTTTTTGGCAGTGTTGAACCAAACAGGTTGTTCAGTTGATGCCTCTTATACTCATGATACCTGGTGATGTTTCAACTTTCCATAACTAGCCATATGATGGACAACCTCCGAGGGAACATACAGTCTGTTTCAGGCTAGTGCACAGGGGCTATAGGATGACACCTATGAGCTACACCATGACACAACTTTGGTGTTTGGTTGGTAAAAATGAAATTAATCTTAGGCCATAAATATCTTTCTAAAATCACATTCAAACCTGACAGAGGCAAGAAAACATCAGCGACAGAGCCGCAGTGAGACGAGGTGTCACAGGAAAAGGCTGAGACTTTCCTCTCCAGATGTGTTCAATCACAATAAGCTGCACACATGAAATTGTATCATATCAGATCATTATTAATGCTGCTGTTAAACTTTGGTTCAGGGCCACTCCTTTACAGAGGAGGTGGGATCAGTAAGCAGCCTGACAGGAAAGTTCAACGTCACAGGAGGGAGGGCCAGGTTCAGATAAAATACCTCAAATCAAAGTGAAAGTTTGTCCGAGCTACAGCTGCAAAGTTGAGACGAGTCTCTGTTTCTCTTTAACGAAAAAACTTCATCAGCATCTGTGACACTGGTGAGTACAGCTGATATTTACTAAAAGAATGTCCACCACACTTATATACTGTATACAGATTCCTGTATATTTCATACAGTATGTCCTTTGATTTGGTAATGTATGGGTCATACCAAACGTTTAGATATAATTAGTTCAAATAATATATTGGGAGATCATCAGTGTTGCAGACTTTCTTCACTTTTTAATGTCAGCATTTGTTGAACAGCTGAGAGAAACTCTGGGTGCGCACATCCTTCCTTTTCCCTTCCCAGAGAGGAGTCTCATGTGACTGGACTGACTCAGTTTCTTTACACACTCACTCTCCAGTTAAGACTTTCAATTGCTTTGACATAGTCTCTCTGACAGCACCACCACTGGAGTGCAGTAACTTCCTCCAGTCAAAAGGGAACTTTTGACTTACAGGCGCCACCTGCTGTTGTTAATGTATAATAACATTTAAATGTCTATTGAATTTCCAGAAAAATATACAACCTATACCTTTAGGTCAATAGAGTAAATAAATAATAATATACAAATAACCGTAGCACTGATTGTATCTACATTTTGTGTTGCCATTTAAATGTGGTTAAGAAGAAAATACAGCTTGCCAAACTTTAGGCTTTAGGATTTCATTGAGGACGTCTCTGTCCTGATTCAAAACCAGCATCTGAGGATTTGAGTCTTCTTGGTAAATTTCAAAACAGTTACTTTGTCACACCTCTTCAACAGCTCTGGTTCAGATTTTCTTTTACTTTTAAATCTTCCAGTTGAGGTCACTCCTTTAAATTGGTGGTTGTTTTCTACTGGTGACTCACCTGTAAAGTCAGCTGATGTTCACAGTTGTGTTCCTAGTGTTCAAACATTTTATCAAACAAGAAATAAGATTTATGGGTTCACTTTTCTCTTACTTTTCCCCATCTTAGTGTGTAGACATGTCCGCTGCCAGCAACCTGAGATCTGAAGATCAGTTCCTGTGCTCCATCTGTCTGGATGTGTTCACTGATCCAGTCACTACACCATGTGGACACAACTTCTGTAAGAACTGCATCACTACACACTGGAACATTAATGACAGGTGTCAGTGTCCCAAGTGTAAAAAGGTTTTTAAAATAAGACCTGAGCTTCACATCAACACTTTCATCTCTGAGGTGGTTGCTCAGTTCAAACATGAAGCTCAACAGAAAACCAGCAGCAGCAGCTCAGAGCAACAAGTTTCCAAACCAGGAGAAGTTCCCTGTGACGTCTGCACTGGAACCAAACTGAAGGCCCTGAAGTCCTGCCTGGTGTGTCTGACCTCCTACTGTGAGACTCACCTGGAGCCTCACCTGACAGTGTCAGGCCTGAAAAGACATCAGCTGATCGACCCTGTGGAGAACCTGGAAGACAGGATGTGTACGAAGCACGATAAACCTCTGGAGCTGTTCTGTCAGACCGACCAGACATGTGTCTGCATGCTCTGCTCTGTTTTAGACCACAAGACACATGAGTTTGTTCCTCTGAAAGAAGGATATGAAGGAAAGAAGGCAGAGCTGGAGGAGACAGAGGCTGAAATTCAGCAAATGATCCAGAAGAGACGACTGAAGATTCAGGAGATCAAACGGCTAGTCAACTTCAGCAAAGAAAAAGCAGACGGTGAGATAGGAGAAGGTGTTCGGGTCTTCACTGCTCTGATGGAGTCTGTCCAGAGAAGCTTGAATAATCTCATTGACGAGATCGAAGACAAACAGAAAACCACAGACAAACAGGCTGAAGACTTCATCACAGAGCTGGAACAGGAAATCTCTGAGCTGATGAAGAGAAGCACTGAGGTGGAGCAGCTCTCACTCTCTGAAGACCACCTCCACCTCCTCCAAAGCTTCCCATGCCTGAAAGCTGCTCCACCCACCAAGGACTGGACAGAGGTCAGAGTCCATTTCCCATCATATGTCGGGACTGTGGTGAGAGCTGTGGCTCAGCTGGAGGAGACGCTCAGTGAAGAGATGAAGAAGCTGACTGTGACTGAGCTGAAGAGAATTCAGCGATATGCATTCAATGTGACATTTGATCCTGATACAGCACATCCTGAACTCATCCTGTCTGATGATGGAAAACAAGTAAATCATGGTGATTTGAGGAAGAATCTCCCAAACAACCGAGAGAGATTTTCTGATTGTCTCTGTGTCTTAGGAAAGCAGAGTTTCTCTTCAGGCAAAATTTACTACAAAGTTCAGGTTAAAGGAAAAACTGACTGGGATTTAGGAGTGGTCAGAGAGTCGATCAACAGGAAGGGATTCATCACATTGAGCCCTGCGGATGGTAATTGGACGATATGTTTGAGAAATGGAAATGAGTACAAAGCTCTTGATGAGCCTCCAGTCCGTCTCTCTCTGAAGTCTCAGCCTGAGAAGGTGGGGGAGCTTGTGGAGTATGAGGAGGGTCTGGTATTCTTTTCTGATGTAGCTGCCGCAGCTCTCATCTACTCCTTTACTGGCTGCTCCTTCACTGAGAAACTCTATTTGTATTTTGGTCCTTGTCCTAATGGTGGTGGTAAAAACTCCGCCCCTCTGATCATCACACCAATCAACTGCACTTAATAGACCAGTTATTAACTGTGTATGAAAGCAACTTGTGTTAAGTGCTAAGAATATATTAATTGGTAATTCTCAGTGTAATTTTTCTTTATTGATTCTTTATTGATTGATTTAGTTGTTTTTTGTTATGATACCATGTTTATCTTGCATTTATCCCACTGTTTCTCCATGCTGATTGTTGTGGGACCCACTAATGTGTCAGGAAATGAGTTAAAATGTGTAAAATGGCAGATATATTGAAAACCTCAGCTGTGTGTGAAGGTGTACACCTTGATATGATCAGGTTCTAGGTTCTCACAGGAGCAACAATCCATTAAAGATGTTGAGGTTACAAGTATAAACTGTACATAAAATGATGACATTTTGATGGAATTTTGCATTCTGTGTTTCTGACATTCATTTTATTCTAATTATAGAAAGAAATAAAAGCAAATGAAAAGATGTTGGGTTGTTTTGTGTTTACTTTATTTGTTTTAAACTAATATCAAATCCCCAAATGTATTGATTTAAATGTCCATTAATCAGTGTTCTAAAGCTTTTTAGCTCCTAGCTTTGGTCTATGGCACATTTTACTGTCTCAGGTGTTTCAGCTGTTTTCTTTAAAATCATGTCTGGGGTAGCTGGTCAGTCTGATTGTGATAAACAATAGAAACAACATTATTTTAAAATTATTCTCATTTTAATGCATAAGAGAATATAAACAAGTTAATTTGGGAATTATTTTGTTAACATTATAATATATTTGCCTGTTCTGTTCATCATAAGCAATAAAATAGACAAATTGCGCCTATTTTGACTAGAGATATGTGCTATGCAAAACAAAATTCAATAAGAGTTGTTTGATAAATATTATTAAATAAATAAATAATACTAAAATATTATTGTCAAACAATGCATATTTTCAGAATACTGTGCTTATTGAGACAAAAAGCAAAACTTAATGAATGAAATTTAATGTGTTTTTAATTTGTTGTAACCATCCCCAGTGAATGATATGTCATATGGAATCATCTTTAAATGGTGGGTAATTAGCTACAGATGTAAGTTTAATATGTAAAAGTTTGGTGGGTCTCAGAGTAACTGAGAGAAATGTAAGAAGATTTGCAACCGTCCTCAGTCTCCTCTAAATAAAGTAGTTAAAGTTAGTGCAGCCTAAATGCAACATTAATGCAGCAGTAATATTAATCCAAAAACATCATATAATATATTATTATTATTCATAATTAAGTATTAGATTAATCTGATTTAATTACCCAGACGCTGTGTGAACGCCCATTGCTGCAAGACTACACTACCCACGATTCCTATCCTCTGGTATTTCCGGGTAGGTAGCGCTGACAGCCATATTTGATTCGATTATGCTGTTGTGGCTGCGACAACCAGTTTAACCAGTTCTCAACAAAAACGGTGTTTTTTCTCCAGAACGAGGCGGATTCCAGCTTCAGCCGTGACCCGCTCCTCCCGCTCTCTCCGCTACGACACTTTACCACCTGTAGTCAACGATGAATCCCGAATAGTAAGTGGGGCTTTTCATGTCGGTTGTGACAGGTCCGGCTGAGCTGTCAGCTTAGCTTGGGGCAGCTAAGCTAAGCTAGGCTAACGTTAGCCGTCCGGGCGGACCGGTACAAGATGCACGTCAGCTGCTTTGTCTCCGGTGCTCGGTTAGCGGCAGCCTGTCGCGCTGATGTTCGCCGTCAAACTTGACTTTATCGGTGTTTTCTGATCAATAAATCACCGATTAATGCGACCGTTTGTTGGTGTTTGCTCCCGAGTTTGTGTTCGCTCACAGACGGCAAGTTCACTGTATGTAGCGTCAGAAGCTAGGAGGCTAACTACGTAGCACAGCCCGAGGATCCAGCCGTAGAGGTAGCTGATCGGTCAGAGTCGTGTAGCGGCGGGACACGTCCCTGTCGGTGACCGTGACGCTAACCGAGATGTGTAAACCGACCCGGGGACGTTTACCGGTGAATTCAGCCTCATTTATCCGCCGTTAACAGGAAGCTGCTGCTCCCGGTGTGGAGTTAGGTAATGATGTTCTGTGGTGTTACTACACCACACTTCTCCATCACCGACCGAACTGCCAATTAATGTTTCGATTAACCGACCAAACAGCAGTGAAAATGGCCCTGACTGACCTGTTCAGACACCCCTCCCTTCCCCCAGCCCCACCACCCGGAAAAACAAACAAACAAACAAATAGTCACTTCCATCAAAGCTGCTGATTAGTTTGGCCTGTTAATTGGAGTAAAAAGGCACATGAAGACCAATCAGCTGATCAACCAATCAACAGATTACGAAAACAATCAGAGATAAATGATATAAAACTGAAATAAATATTCAGTTTCTTATTAAATGTCATAATTACTAGTAATGCTGCAGATTTATTTATTGTAAACTGACTACTTAAGTTAAAGTTGTAACCTATTATTATTTTCATAACAATACACCCCCCCGCCCCCCCCCCTTGAACAGAAAAAAAAAACGAACCCCCCCACTGGAGAAACCTCAGAAACTGATGAATTCTTTTTTCACTTTATCAATTATCCAAATAGCTGCTGATGAAATGTCTATCGATTAAATGTTTAAACATTTCTACATTATTAACCTGCATGTTGTTGTAACGTCCAGCTGGAGGCAACAAGGTTATAACTAACTAATATTTTATTGATTAGTTTCCGAAGTATGTTCTGACGAGTTTATTAATTAGTCGACTCACAGAAATTCAAAAAAAAAAGAAGGAAATCTTCTCTTTGAGAAGCTGAAGCCGGAGATCATGTGACTGGTGGTTGCAGCTTTATTCCGTGTGTTGTGACAGTTCTCCCTCCTCTGTCCTCACAGTGATTATTTATTCAAACTGCTCCTGATCGGTGACTCTGGTGTCGGGAAGTCGTGTCTCCTCCTCCGGTTTGCAGTAAGTGTCTGTTTTTCTCTGATGGTTGATAACGCTGCAGGTGTCACACCTGCCACCCAGACCCACCTGTGTGTGTGTGTGTGTGTGTGTGTGTGTGTGTGTGTGTGTGTGTGTGTGTGTTCTGACCTAGGATGACACGTACACAGAGAGCTACATCAGCACCATCGGTGTGGACTTCAAGATCAGGACCATCGAGCTGGACGGGAAGACCATAAAGCTCCAGATTGTAAGGAGGGGGCGGAGTCACGGCGGCGTGAACAGATTAGTGGTGATGGTGTGTTAGTGTCAGTGTGGACTCACCAGCTGTTCTTTCCCTCCACAGTGGGACACGGCCGGACAGGAACGCTTCCGCACCATCACGTCCAGTTACTACAGAGGAGCTCACGGCATCATCGTGGTTTATGATGTCACAGATCAGGTCAGCACTCACAACCTCAACCTGCTTTACAGCAGTAAAATTCTACTGTTTCCATGGAGATTGTTTGTTTGCTGCCATAGCGGAGAACATCTCACCTGTATCGTCTCACTAAGCTGCCAGAAGAAAGAAAACCAGACTGGTCAGAGTTAACATCTGTGTGTGTGTGTGTGTGTGTGTGTGTGTGTGTGTGTGTGTGTGTGTGTGTGTGTGTGTGTGTGTGTGTGTGTCCTCAGGAGTCCTTCAATAACGTCAAACAGTGGCTGCAGGAGATCGACCGCTACGCCAGCGAGAACGTCAACAAGCTGCTCGTTGGCAACAAGTGTGACCTCACAACGAAGAAGGTGGTGGATTACACCACAGCTAAGGTGAGTGTTCACACTGCAACATGTCTGGCCACAGGTCACACAGGTGTCACACATTACACACATCACACAGGTGTCACAGGTCACACGTCACAAATCACACAGGTCACACATCACGCAGGTCACACATCACGCAGGTCACACAGGTGTCACACAGGTCACACAGGTCACACAGGTCACACGTCACACATTATACAGTTGTCCCAGGTCACAAATCACACACGTCACGCAGGTCACACATCACACAGGTCACACAGGTGACATTACACAGGTGTCACAGGTCACACAGGTCACACAGGTCACACGTCACACAGGTCATAGATGTTACAGGTCACACATTACACAGGTCACAGGGGGGGGTTAATTAATATGTAATTAATCAACTGATAAGGACTCATATGAGCATTATCCATGTCCTGGATTCAGGTCCTTGAGAGGCCTCAGAACTGGACTGAAATAAAACAGCCTCACCTCGAGGTCTATTTAGCAACAGTTCTGGTGCTTTCAGTCTCATCTCACAGTCTTCCTCAGCAGCAGTTTCACTCATCGCGCTCCTGTTTCCTCCTCCAGGAATTCGCGGACAACCTGGGGATCCCCTTCCTGGAGACCAGCGCCAAGAGCGCCACCAACGTGGAGCAAGCCTTCATGACCATGGCGGCCGAGATCAAGAAAAGGATGGGCCCCGGGGCCACAGCTGGCGCTGCCGAGAAGTCCAATGTCAAGATCCAGAGCAAGCCAGTCAATACCTCGTCCGGAGGCTGTTGCTGAGACCCCACCCCACCCCCCAACCCCACCCAAAAACCGCCACGACCTGAATCCACCCCGAGCCCACAATGTCTCAATGTTAACACGCTCCACAGGGAAAGACGACCAGAGGGAGGGAGGGAGGGGGGANATCCAAACACACTCACACTGGAACAACGTGACGCCATTTTAACAGTGTGACGTTAACCAGCACACAGCTGATTCGCTCTGATTGTAAAACCGCCACTTTTCTAAAACTGAAAGTAATCAGGAAGTAGCCCCCCCCGCCCCGCTGTGGACCGCAGCATGAATCTCCTCAGACTTAATACGAATTGTTCAGACTTCAAATGAAGCACATGCTTAGACCAGCATCATGCATGTTCGACCCGATCACACGCTTCCCTCCGTGCTACTCTCATGACGCCACGAGTGGCTTCCCGCCAGGAAACGCTCTGGTAACGCCGCCTGCTCCGACTTCACGCCGTCGCCCCTAGAAACCATGTGCCAGTGCCTTTGTGGCAGGAGATCTCCGTGACGTCACGCCTCCGGTGCTGGTGTGTTGTCGGCGTTCTCCCCTCATGTGCCCACAGTGGTGAAAGACGCCGCCGTGTTAACATTCCTGTAAATATCCGTGTTGGGCTGCGTGTGCGCCGCTGGTGTTCGTCATACTATAAGCATGTGCTACATTGGGAGACGTGACGTCAGCCGTGTGTGTTCCTCTGCTAATGTTTCTCAACCAACAGCACAACCACGACAGGAGAAAGCTCCACCCCCCGAACCCCCCCCCCCCGCTCCAGAATAATCTATAAACTGTATATATTTATACATAAATGTAAGAAGTGATTTGCAGATTGTAGAGAAGCAAGTGAAGCGAATGATCCATAGCTGGAGTCAGTAATATCTCGGCACGTGATTTGTGGCTGCGGACATAACATTTTTGTGGCACAATGTCTACTATTAAAACAATGAAGGAGATCTTTGATAACTGTTGGTCCTCGTGGTGTTTTTCTTTCCACCTTCGTCTCATAAGCCGAGAGGAATGATGACCTTTGACCTACATCTCTCAGGCTGCTCAGTGTCTTCAGGAGAGGTCGTTAAAAAGCTCTGATTTCAACTTCCTCTAAAACATTTCAAACATTCTCAAATCAAATAAACAGCATAAGAACACATTTGTGATTTTTCTTTTTTTAAAGGTTTTTAATGGAAAACTTTTAATAGTTTTTGTATTTTGGGATTTTTTTAAACATACATATTTTTTTAATTTAGGATTTATTTTAAAATGTTTTAGAAAATATTAAATAAAATAATAAAAATTGGGATTTAAAAAAATACTTATGTTTGGGTTTTTGCCAAAATATTTGATAACATTTCATGTTTATAAGAAGCAATCAGTGTTTTTTTGTTTATTTAAAGGTCCCATATTTTACATTGTTCCAGTGTTAGCTTCCAGCTTTAATATCCATAAGAAGATATACTGTGGAGAGACGTTTGACCTCCTTCCACATGGTCCTGATGTTTCATCATCTTTCTGCATAAATTTGCATATTAATGAAGTTCAGCTTCGTGGTGCGTCTTGGTGACCAGCTGCAGATGATGTAGCTCACCTGTCCTGACATCAGGCCGAGGGTCTGGTACTGGTCCCAGCAGGGGTCAATGAGGTCACTTCCTGTGCTCAGACAGTACTAGCAGTAGCTGGTTGACGAGCTGAGGACATGCTTCATATTATTGATACCAAACAATCAATCAATCGAACTTTATTCCTCTGGCTCCGTTCACACTGGAGACAGAAACGTGATCAAAACAGTTTGAGACTCACAACAAATAAAATCAAAGAATGAAACCAGTTTTCCTCCTGCAACAATGAAAACCCTGAAGACCTGAGGGTCCTGGTTCAGAGACTAGAACCATATCAGACCAGGAGGCTGCTGCAAGAACTTTAAAACAGACAGGCAGCCAGTGTGAGGAGTTTAATACCGTTTTCTCTGGTCCTGGTCCCGAACCCGGTCTTGGTCCTGATCCCGATCCCGGTCCCGATCTTGATCCTGGTCCTGCTCCCGATCCCAATCCCGATCTTGATCCTGGTGCTGGTCCCGGTCCCAATCCTGATTATGGTCCCAATCTTGGTCTTGGTCCTGATCCTGATCTTGATCCTGGTCCCGATCTTGATCCTGGTGCTGGTCCCAGTCCCGATCCCGGTCAGCAGCAGAGCCCTTAATCAGAGACAGACAGGTCTCAGACCACCTGTTAAAGTGAGCTACAGAACAGATCAAGCTAACTTTAGCATTGCTCCAGCGTCAGCGGGGACCAATGAAAACGTGGTTCCTGGTGGTTTCACCTGTGGATGCTCCGCAGAGTCTCACCTGGTTTCTATGTGCAGTCCCGACTCGTGCTGAAAAGCAGCTGTTTGATCAAACTTGACCGTATTTGGATTAGCTGGGAGTTAGGGGCGGAGTCAGACACTGCCAAGGTGGCGACAGTGGGGCAGCTCACTCTGAGCTTCAGAAACCTGCGGGTCGTCACAGAGTTGACAGCCATCTTTATTTACAGTCTGTGGGTTTGATCCTCTCCAGGAAATGAACGTGTCACGTGACGTCCACAGCCTCACCTGTCATGATGAAGTCACGTTTGACTTGAACAGAAACGAGCAGAGGAGATTTTCTCTTAAATTATTTTAATTCTTGTGTACACTAAAAGTAAAATTTACACACGTATCGTCTGAAAAGAACCTGGGCATGCACGATAACCTTTTGACAGGCTCTTCAAGTGATTCAGTTTTTTTCCATAGGAATTTTCCCATACATTTTACAGTCCATAGTTTAACTGTACACAGTCTAAAGCCACAGTGAACTATGATTACATCCATTTCATCTTTACAATGTGCAAAATCCTCCTGGAGACGGGGCTGACAGTAGTATGAGCCGAAAACAACTAACTGAAGAAACATCCAAACATGAGAAAGATTCAAAAAGCACTTCATCAGTTTCAAACCGACACCTGGTCAACGATTGGTCCCTTAATTCCCTTCTGATGAGTCGACCGTCACTGCTCAGAAACCTTCAGCAAGCTTCAGTGGTTTTAACCAAAACGTCCCATTTTTACCCCCCAACACAAAAGAACTAAGAGATGCTACCTCTTCACAATAAGAGTCCCCTTATAAAGGATTTATTGTTAGGTTATTAACACTTCATTAACCATAAATAAACAAGTTGTGACACAGTTTTCAAACATTGATGGAGGATCTCTACTAGCAAGATCAAGTTAATGCTACTACTCATTAATCTGACTAATTAATTAATGAGTTAGTTATTGTTATTATTTGACAATAAAGCTCATTTTACCAGTTATAAATGCTAGTAAATCATTAATATTAATGAGTAATTGCATTAACTTGATCTTGCCAAATAGTGATCCTGCATCAATGGATGAAAACTGTTATAACATGTTTATTTATGATTTATTAAGTGTTAATAACCTAATTATAAAGCATTTATAAATCCTTTATAAGGGGACTCTTATTGTGAAGTGATGCCATGTGTTTTTATCCACAACAGCTGGAACATTTGAGTCCAGCTGTTCAACATGGAGTAAAAAGAAACAAGTGAGTGAGAACACGTCAACTGAGACTGAAGAATAAAACATCTGGGGGGGGGGGGGGGGGGGGCTTCCTGTTAAAAAAGCTTCATTAAATGACAGAAACATCTTTGACACTAAAGAAAATCAGGTTAAAATCTTTGACTGGAGGTAAAAACTGAAACAACGAGGGACGAAACATTCAGCTGGATTTTGCAGGCAGTGTGGTTTCAAGTCCATAAATATATATATATATATATAGATTTTATATATGTATATAAATGTATTCATTTATACTGGTCATATATATTTTCCACTTCAGTTTGATTCAAAGAGCTTCAGCCAGTGTTTCCTTCACAGACATGAACACACTCCCACCACACACACAAATCATCGGAATCTAAAAAACTAACGGGAACAGAAACGTTGAATCCCTGATTATGTACACGCCACGCTTCTTCTTCTGCTTCTTCTTCTTCTACATATGAACAGCACAAACTTCTAAACCTTCCTCTACAAATTATCAGCTCTACAAATTAATGATCTGATCTCTACTCTGTTACATGTGCAGGTCGTCGGCCGAGCGCTCAGCTGTTCCCCTGATGATAAATGCTTCGCTTTATTTTGAAAAACAAAAGTTAAAAAACATGTATGAAAAGGGGGAGGAGCCAAGCTGCAGCATGAGAAAAAAACAAACAAACAAAAAAACAAACAAACAAAAAAAATATAACTTGATAAAATGGACCGAGCCAGTGGGCGTGGCCAGACGAGCATGGTGGGCTGTCAGAGGGCGTGGTCAGTGGGGAGCAGGGCTTCAGTCCGACACGGCCTGGGAGCTGAGCGGCGTCAGTGTGGCGGGAAACATCAGCACCTTGGCCTGCATGAAGGAGAGGTCGGGCAGACCAGCGATCACTTTGGCCGCTTCCTCACTCAGGTTCTCGTCCTTCCTCGGCTTCCTGTCAAACAGGAAGAGATCGACAACATGTCACACACCTGACCTCTCACACACCTGACCTCACACACCCCTGCCCTCACACACACCCGCCCTCACACACACCTGACCTCACACACTCGCCTGACCTCACACACACCTGACCTCTCACACACCTGCCCGCCCACACACACACCTGACCTCACACACCCGACCTCTCACACACACCTGACCTCTCACACACCTGCCCGCCCACACACACACCTGACCTCACACACCCGACCTCTCACACACACCTGACCTCTCACACACCTGCCCGCCCACACACACACCTGACCTCACACACCCGACCTCTCACACACACCTGACCTCTCACACACCTGCCCGCCCACACACACACCTGACCTCACACACCCGACCTCTCACACACACCTGACCTCTCACACACCTGCCCGCCCACACACACACCTGACCTCACACACCCGACCTCTCACACACACCTGACCTCTCACACACCTGCCCGCCCACACACACACCTGACCTCACACACCCGACCTCTCACACACACCTGACCTCTCACACACCTGCCCGCCCACACACACACCTGACCTCACACACCCGACCTCTCACACACACCTGACCTCTCACACACCTGCCCGCCCACACACACACCTGACCTCACACACCCGACCTCTCACACACACCTGACCTCTCACACACCTGCCCGCCCACACACACACCTGACCTCACACACCCGACCTCTCACACACACCTGACCTCTCACACACCTGCCCGCCCACACACACACCTGACCTCACACACCCGACCTCTCACACACACCTGACCTCTCACACACCTGCCCGCCCACACACACACCTGACCTCACACACCCGACCTCTCACACACACCTGACCTCTCACACACCTGCCCGCCCACACACACACCTGACCTCACACACCCGACCTCTCACACACACCTGACCTCTCACACACCTGCCCGCCCACACACACACCTGACCTCACACACCCGACCTCTCACACACACCTGACCTCTCACACACCTGCCCGCCCACACACACACCTGACCTCACACACCCGACCTCTCACACACACCTGACCTCTCACACACCTGCCCGCCCACACACACACCTGACCTCACACACCCGACCTCTCACACACACCTGACCTCTCACACACCTGCCCGCCCACACACACACCTGACCTCACACACCCGACCTCTCACACACACCTGACCTCTCACACACCTGCCCGCCCACACACACACCTGACCTCACACACCCGACCTCTCACACACACCTGACCTCTCACACACCTGCCCGCCCACACACACACCTGACCTCACACACCCGACCTCTCACACACACCTGACCTCTCACACACCTGCCCGCCCACACACACACCTGACCTCACACACCCGACCTCTCACACACACCTGACCTCTCACACACCTGCCCGCCCACACACACACCTGACCTCACACACCCGACCTCTCACACACACCTGACCTCTCACACACACCTGACTCTGTCACATATGAAACTCTTGTGTATTGTTTCAATCATCAGCTGTGTCGACTTTTCGCTTCATGTCTGTTTTGACTCCAATGATTTAATAAAGAAACTGAAGCAACAGGTGAGCGTCATGACGACCACATGACCTCTACAGTCTGAGGTAAAAACAGCTGCTGACCCCTGACCCCCCTCTGACCCCTGACCTTGTGGAGGTGCTGGTCTTTTCCATGGTGGACATGAGGCGGGCGAAGGCGTCGGCCACCCGGCTGCCAGAGCCGCCCGGGTCCAGCTTGGCCGTCGTCAGCTCGTACAGCTCAGGGTCCACACCTGAGAGGAGGGAGAGAGAAAACACCTGAGCAGGTTCTGTCACAGGTCTGATCCTCAGAGTTCGATCTCAGACTGAAACCTGATCCAGATCAGACTCTACAATTAAAGTGACAGTTCAGGTGATCAGACGTGGGGTGGTGTGAGGTCGTCATGTTCAGTCAGTGTGTTACATGCAGCCGATTCAGGTAGGACAGGTACAGAAAACCCCTGTGTTAGACACTTTAAAAGACGCCACTGAAACCATCCAACATCTGTTGATACGGGGGAGGGGGAGGAGCCAGGTGTGAAAGCGGCACCTGAAAAGGTTTTTTTATTTGTACAAACAAGTGAAAAAAAATCTGTTCTATTCTAAGTTTTTTGTCTGTGAAAATGACCGAGAGACAAGTGGGGGGGGGGGTTTTAAAGTGTCTAACACAGGTGTTTTCTGCTGGCCCCGCCCACAGCAGCTCATCACGAGTGTTCCTGTCCTACCTGAATGTGCTGCAGGTAACACACTGACAATGTGACGACCTTACAACCCCCACCTGGATTGACATGGACCCCCTCCCTCCATGCTGCAGGAGAAGCTGTAAGCGAGGGGGGGGAGGGGGGGGGGGGCTTTACAAAGGAAACATGGAACTATATAGAAATAAATGATGTTTCTCATCATCAAAACGTAAACATCTGGATAAACACACACAGCTCAGACAGGAAGTGTGTGTCCTGTGATCTCACAGACGAGTGAGAAGTGGAGGCGGGAGGTTAATTTAAAGATGGGGGAGGGGAGCAGCTGCTGACCTGGGATGGATGGGGAGCTGGTGGAGCCTGAATCCTCCACAGGACCAAAGAAATCCAGGTTTAAGAGAGACGAGCCTCCGCTCGCTGCAGAGCCAGGGGGCGGCCGAGGTTAACACACACAGAGAGAGAGAGAGAGAGAGAGAGAGAGAGAGAGAGAGAGAGAGGGGAAACCAGAGACATGCAGCAGTGTCAGTGATCAGAGAGACATGAGGAACGTTAGAGTCTACAGAGGTCACTCTCTCTCTCTCTCTCTCTCTCTCACACACACACACACGTTCATGCATGTGTTTTTTCCTCCTAACTTCTGATTGGCTGTGAGTCAGGGGGCGTGGCTGGTGAGTTCAGGACAGAAACGCTATGAGGGTTAGAAGAGTGTGGTAGACATGAGCAGGCGGGGGGGGGTCACCTACCGTCCAGGGGGTTGGTAAGGCCGCTGCTGCTCCAGTCGAACTGGACAGGTGGGAGCGCCTCCTGGGAGGAGAGAGAGGAGGTTACAAAGGTTTGTTTGACTGGAGGAGTCGACTTCTCCTCACAAATCTCCACACTTTGGTGATGTCACCATGACCTTTGACCCCCACAATCTAACCAGCTCATCCTTGAGTCCCGGTGAATGTTTGTCTTCATGGTGTCATGAGACATCGTGTCTCCTCTGACTGTCTCCGGTCAGAGGAATAATGGCGTCTCACCTGGACGGTGTCTGAGGGACACGAGCTTTTCTCTGGAGCCAGCGGAGGCGCCTGGGCGATGGAAGCAATCATCTCTGCTGCAGAGACCGGCTTCACAGGCTCTTTGGTTGGTTCCAGCATCCCCTGGGGGGGGGGGTAAATGATCAAATAAAGAAACAGATCATAATGTGTTGTCGCTCAGAGAACTCAGTGAGGGAGATCTGAATATCAACACTGACAGAACCACAGCTGATAGTCAACAACAGCACGTGTGATGTTTTATATATATCACACACACACACACACACACACACACACACACACACACACACACACACACACACACACACACACACACACGTCCTGCCTCGTCATCAGTCATGTGACCCGCAGGTTTCAGGAACTTCAGAGAGCTGCTGAAGAGGAGCAGACCAACAATCAGTCACTCCAGATACCGACTCGTCCTCTGGTCCACCCCCCACCCAGATGAAATGCACATCTGTCTTCCTTTTCAAATAAAAACTTGGCAGTTGCGGCCTTTTATGTGACAAGACCGAGGCTCACCTGTGGCATCATGATGGCATGACGTCCCTCTGACAAGGTTTAGAAAAAGTCTGACATCTTCAAATTTAAACCAAACAAAAATGTGATGTTGAGATTTCAGTTTTTAAACTGACACCTCAGTGTTGAACTCACGTGTCCTGCTCCTCACACACTCAGTTTCCAACCTGAGACTTTGATACTACCCCACGTCAGGGAATGATGTCATGGTGGTTTTGTTGATGTTAATGCATGATTAATGAGATTAGATATGTTTGTGATATTAAAGCTGCTGCGACTGACAGGTACGAACATGTGCAGACTCACCAGGCTGGCGGCGCTACATTAGGCACAAATGGAACCGCGTGCTTCTTCTTGTCCCGTGAACAGCTGCGCACAGCAGAGAGTCAGTCAGTGTGGTGTTTGCAGGGCAGAGGTTACTAAAGGTCACAGATTTCAATCAAACGTCTAAGACTGGATTCAGATCTGGTTGTAATATGTTTTTTAGTGTGCCTAGGAGAGCAGAGGGTCCAACAGGAACTTACGATGTTTCTGTGTCGATGCCGAGGCCAGCAGAGCAGAGGCTTTGTTGCCAGTGGTAAACCCCCCCACTGGTACTGAGCGAACGCCTCGTGGATGTTTCCTGAAGCTGCGTCCACAACCGCCACGCACAGACCTGAACCGACCAATGAGACCGAGAGGAAGACGAGCGTCAAACAGAGAGACAGAGGAGTAAGTTAATAACGACCGGTCCGAAACAGGGTCTGAAAACACAGATCTTAAACTCCTGCCTCTCAATAAAACAATAACAACAGACGACGGGATGATGTCATTGAAGGAGTGGGGGATCATGGAGTTGTAGTTGGATGTTCCTTCAGTGTCAGTGGTTCAGGTGAGTCTGAGCCGACGCTGTACGGAGGACAGAGACTCAGAGAAAGAGCTGCCAGCTTGAGGTTGATGCTTAACCTTTGTTTCTGACTGTTTCTCTGATCGCTCTGAACCAGACGTTCAGCAGGTTTTTACGCAGCAGCTGAAGCGATCCACAGAGGAAGTCCTCCTCCTCCACAACAAACCAACGCGGGATTAAACCAGGAGAAACTCGATAAAACAGTTTGACTATTAGACATCAGAGATTGAGGCCACGCTCCTCATGAGACAGCGACAGGACCGTCTCCAGCAGCTGGATGGCTGCCAGCAGCTTGTTCCTCTGATAAAGATCCAGACGTCTGAACGAACTAAAATCATCTGCTTGGGCAAAACAACAGCTGAAAACACCCAGGTGGAAAAAGTGTCTGTGGCTTAAAACGAGATAAAAGTCCAAAACAAACTAGAGCCTGACCGATAGTGGATTTTTGGGGCCGGTGCAGATACCATGTTAGGGAGCTAGGATAAAAAAAATTTCTCTTACTTTCTTTCTTCTTCTTCTCTCTTCTCTCTCTATCTTTTCTACTCTACTTCTGTCTTCTCTCTATCTTCTCTTAATTCTCTCTTTTCTACTCTCTTGCTCTTCTTCTCTCTTCTTCTCTCTCTTTCTCTCTAACCCTTCTTTCTTTTTTACTTTACTTCTCTTTTTTTTACTCTACTTGTTTCTCTTTACTTTCTTCTCTATTACTCTCTCTCGCTTCTCTTCTGTCTTCTCTTATCTCTCTCTCTTCTCTCTCTCTGTCTAGCTTTTCTTCTTCTCTTCTCCTCTCTTCTCAGGCGGTCTTCTGCTCTTCTTTTCTCTTCTCTCTCTATCTCTTCTCTCTCTAGTTCTTTCTTCTCTATACTACTCTTTATCTATCTCTTGCTCTTCTCTCTTCTCTTTCTCTCTTCTTCTTCTCTTTCTTTCTTCTTTTTCTCTTCTCTGGTTCTCCTCTCCTTTTCTATCTCTCTTTCTCTTCTCTCTTCTATCTCTTCTTTCTCTCTTACTCTCTCTCTTCTCTTTCTATCTTCTCCTCTCCTTTCTTTCTCTGTCTTCTCTCTTCTCTATCTTCTCTAATTTTCTTTCTTACTTCTTCTTCTTCTCTTTTCTATCTCTTCTCTTTTACTCTGTCTCTTTCTTTTCTCTTCTCTCTTCTTCTTCTCTTCTCTCTCTCTGTTCTTCTTCTCTCTTCTTTCTTCTTCTCTTCTTCTTCTTTCTCTTTTTCTCTTCTCTTTCTTTTCTAACTCTTTCTCTCTATCTTCTCTTCTACTATCTTCTTTCTCTCTTTTCTTCCTTCTTCTCTTTCTTACTTCTCTCCTTCTTCTTTCTACTTCGTTCTTTTTCTCTCTCTTCTCTGCAGCGTTCTCTCTTTCTCCTCTCTTTCTCTTTTTCTCTTCTCCTTCTCTTCTTCTTTTCTAGCTTTCTGCTCTGCTTTTTCTTTTTTCTACTATTTTCTCTTTCTACTTACTATCTCTGCTCTCTCTATTTCTTTCTTCTATCTCTTCTCTTCTCTTCTTACTTCTATTATCTCTACCTCTCTCTCTCTCTTCTTTCTGTCTCTTTTCTCTCTCTCCTCTCTGTCTCT